CCAACACTCCACCATCTTCCAACACTCCGCCATCCTCCAACACTCCACCATCCTCCAACACTCCACCATCCTCCAACACCGCCATCCTCCAACACTCCACCATCCTCCAACACTCCACCATCCTCCAACACTCCACCATCCTCCAACACTCCACCATCCTCCAACACCCGCCATCCTCCAACACTCCGCCATCCTCCAACACTCCACCATCTTCCAACACCGCCATCCTCCAACACTCCGCCATCCTCCAACACCACCATCTTCCACACTCCGCCATCCTCCAACACTCCACCATCCTCCAACACTCCACCATCCTCCAACACTCCGCCATCCTCCAACACTCCACCATCCTCCAACACTCCACCATCCTCCAACACTCCACCATCTTCGTAACAAACTAACCCATCCTAACATCTGACAAACTACTGTAACAACGCCAGCTAACAACCCAGCGTCACCTAACGGGCTTAACTTCTCGACCTGCCCAACAAGCCACAACCATCCGGCCATCGTCTTGTTGTTAACGGGGCAGCGGTTGTATCCACCTTTGTTATCCGGCCCCACCGTACACCTTGTTTGTTATCCGGCCTTACCATACACTTTGTTTGTTATCCGGCACTATCATCCACCCTTATCCGGCAAACGTGTGTTAAAACAGACAGGTGAGAGCAGGGAGGACGAGACAGACAAAGATAGACAGACAAAGATAGACAGACTCCTTACCACCGTCGATTTCCCCGCTTGTGAGGATGAGTTAATGTGAAGTGTTTAACTGGCTAATGTTGTGTGTACAGCGCAGGATGTTTACCCCCCCTTACCTGACCCTCTGTTGTAGGTCCATGTTTACACGGTACTTCTACGGTATTAAGGATGTTTATAAGGTACTTCTACGGTACTGAGGATGTTTATAAGGTACTTCTACGGTACTGAGGATGTTTATAAGGTACTTCTACGGTATTAAGGATGTTTATAAGGTACTTCTACGGTATTAAGGATGTTTATAAGGTACTTCTTGGTATTAGATGTTTATAAGGTACTTTAGATGTTTATAAGGTACTTCTACGGTATTAAGGATGTTTATAAAGTACTTTACGGTATTGAGTGTTTATAAGTACTTCTACGGTACTGAGGATGTTTATAAGGCACTTCTACGGTATTATGATGTTTATAAGGCACTTCACGGTATTAAGGATGTTTATAAGGTACTTCTACGGTATTAAGGATGTTTATAAGGTACTTTCATATTAAGGAGTTTATAAGACTTCACGAGGATGTTTATAGGTACTTCTACGTACTGAGGATGTTTATAAGGTACTTCTAGGTGCTGAGGATGTAAGACTCTAAGGTATTGAGATGTTTATAAGGCATTTACGGTATTGAGGATGTTTATAAGGCACTTCTACGGTGCTGAGGATGTTTATAAGGAATTTCACGGTACTGAGGATGTTATAAGGATTTACTACGAGGATGTTTATAAGGATTTAGATAGGATGTTTATAAGGTACTTTTATTTGCTTAACGCTATAAGGCTTTATTGGGTGGCCGAGGATGTTTATAGTAATATGAGAGGGTTATAAGTTAGGAGGATGTTTATAGCACTTAGTGTGGGTGTTGGTGGGGTTGGGTGGGTGTTAATGATGTTTTATGTTATTACTAATGTTTATATACTATTTTCTTTAAACGCTGATGTTGATGTATAAACACTATTTACAGCCTTTACACACTGTTTGATATTAGTTTTATTTCTTATATTTAAACTTTCATTAATTTGTTTACACTTGATTCTCCACACCTAATGTTGTTTGGATATTATGTTAGTACTTTCACTTTATTGTAATGTTTATACTTGATAATGTATACAGATTAATGTTTATTCTTTAGATCAATGTTTACAGTTTAGATCAATGTGGAGGTGCAGGTGAGGGGGGGGTCAGGGAGTGAGGTACTGGTGAAGGTGAAGAAGGTGATGGTACTTCAGGTGTGGTGTTGGTCAGGGGTCAGAGGTCACGAGGCAGGATGTGGAGGTCATCTTTAGCAGTGACCCTTGGCCTCGGCGGACTTGTAGGAGGAGACAGTACACGTCACAAGGGAGGGTGTAGTCCCCACCCTCCCTTGTGACAGCTAGCGGTGAACCCTCGAGTAACACACACACACACACACACCGGCAGATTGATATATATGTACACAGTCACTTGTACTGAAAATACCTACACACGCATCTAAGCACACACACACACACACACACACACACACACACACACACACACACACACACACACACACACACACACACACCCTCAGGGCTTGGCATCTACTCAAAATTCTGCCTCACCTGCACTGTACACCTGACGTCCACAAACACCTGCAGATGTACAATGACATAGAAAAGGAAGAGGAGATAAAGGTGAATAAGAGAAGAGGAGGAGGGAAGCAAGAGATGAATAAATAATTAGTAAGACAAAGAACGAAAGAATGAGGAAGACACTAAGCGAGTAAAGGGAAGAGGAGGAGGAGGAGGGAAGCCTGTGGTAGTGTGATGTGCTGGAGGAAGAGAAGGAAGAGAGAGAGGAGAGTGAGTGTGTGGTGACGGGTGAGGAAGCGACCTTGGTGATGGTGGCGGTGGTGGTGGTAGTAGTGGTAGTAGTGGTTGTGGTGGTGGTGGTAGTAGTAGTAGTGGTGGTGGTGGTGGTAGTAGTGGTGGTAGTAGTGGTATAAGCAATGGTTGTGGGGGTTGGTCACACTGTAGCTCTACCACCACCACCACCACATCTGCTACTACAACCTGGAAATATGTACACATGTTTCTATGCATGTGCTTCTATTTACGTACACATACACATACAGTCACACACACACACACACACACACTGGCATCCACTCCATGCTAAGGGACCAAATTAACATGGATCATTCTGTGTGGGAATATATTACGTGAATACAATATTAACACAGACAATATTAACATATATACAATATCAAATTAACATAGATATGATAAATGACTTAGACAACTTAACTGAGTGTATTAACGAGTATTTTAACTAACACACATAGGCGGAGACAACAATACCTTGACTCTACCCCCCCTCACTTCCCTCTCCCCCCTCACTTCCCTCACCTCCCTCACCTCCCACCTCCTCCTCCTCCCTCCCTCCCTCACCTCCCTACCCCCTCCCTCACTTCCCCACCTCCCTCCCTCACCTCCCTACCTCCCCTACCCCTCCCTCACCTCCCTACCCTCCCTCACTTCCCCACCTCCTCTCTCCTCCCTCACCTCCCTCCCCCAAGGTAATAACTGGAGGAACATTCAAGTAGAGAGAGAGAGAGAGAGTAGTAATGTGTTTTCACTCGACCATCAAACGCTGGATAATGAGGGGGCGGGCCAACAGTGTATGACCTCTGACCTACAGTATATTGACTAAATTGACCGCCGCTAAAACATTCATGAAGGTCAGATCATGCCCCCGGACGACACAGTAGGACAGTGAAGTGACCTTTCTTCTCCCCTGACCTTTGACCTTAACCCACTGAGTGATGACGTTGTGGTGGTGGTGGTACACAGGTGGTGGTATATCGTGTACAACAGAGTATACTAGGTACATAATACATCAGAATATACTAAATACACCGTGTATACTAGAATATATTAAGTACACAGTATACACCACAATACACTCAAGTACACTGTAAACACCAGAATACAGCCTGTATAATACAACAGGATACACCTATCATAGTGTACGAGACAGGAATCATCAAGCATGGAGCTGAGAGATGTACAGTGCAATTACATCATGTGCACCACTGTAGTACATGTGTTAACAGGATGTGACGACCGTGTACAAGAAACCAGGATGTTTGTATGTATTAAGAATTCAGTAAATGAGTCACTGTACTTTGGTTGGTTGTACGACTCATCGAAGAACACTGACTCACTACCTGACTCACTTAAGATATACTGACTCACCGTATGATTCACTGAAGGAATCAAATGACTCTAACTCCCCGAAGACACTGACTCACCTCACGACTCACTATAGAAACCAAATGACTGACTCACCGAAGACACTGATTCACCCCACGACTCACTATAGAAACCAAATGACTCAAACTCACCGAAGACTATGATTCACCTAAGACACTGACTACCCCTACGACTCACAGAAGGAAACAAATGACTCTATGACTCACCCAAGACACATTAATTCCCTACACGACTAACCGCGGTGTAATGGGTCAACAGGAATACATGTAAACGTCACGAGTCGTTGTAAAAACCCGAGGAAAATGAACTGGTAATTACGGCGGCGACACTTGTGTTTTGTTATCAAGATGGTGTGTGTGTGTGTGTGTGTGTGTGTGTGTGTGTGTGTGCGCACTTGACAACACAGCACGCACACTCAGCCTCCTCACACTATAGCTGGAGTATCTTAGCTTCTTATAGTTCCTCGGTTGAATCAGCTAACTCCCAGCATCTCATTGCATCAGTCAACAGTCATATTACTCAGCGGACTCACCTGAGTATGACTTGAATAATGTAAAACTCCATTAAGGGTGATGGTTGAGTGATATACCTCATAATCCACCTCTCAACTGTGTTCTTTGTCAGTTCTTATAGTTGATGGTCAATTATATCTTGGTTCAGTCCGTTTTGAGTCAGGGCAATAATGATAGTTTTTATTATTATTACATAGACAAAGACAGACAGACAGACAGACAGACAGACAGAGAGAGAGAGAGAGAGAGAGAGACAGACAGACAGATAGTAGTTTTGTGATTTTATTCGACTGTTTACAAATTCCTTTACTTCAACTACCTGTACATTACCTACTGCTCCCAGGTGTGTGTGTGTGTGTGTGTGTGTGTGTGTGTGTGTGTGTGTGTGTGTGCTCAGAGGAAAACAATACCTCACTCTGTTGGTAATACTGTTGTGGACGGCAGTACATTGAATAGCTCTTATACACTGAATTGTAAAGGTGTACTGAATCAGGTGTACTTACTGATGATGGAGCAACGTGAGGGTGGAGTAGCATCAAGGTGTGGGATGACTCATTCTACCTGTTGGTTGTAGAGAATCAAGAGATCAGCCACATCATCTATTGAGGATATTTACTTAATGATAAATATTCTGGAACTTGTAACTGAAAAACATAAAATTTTTAAGTTTTTAAATGTCACAAAAGCCGTAAATTTTAATGATCTTGATTGAAGGAGTTTTAAATGTCACTCACTCACTCACTCACTCACTCACCGTCTAGTTCCCTTCTCACCTCACTAGACATTCGCATGGTCGTTCACATCTCACGAATACCGCAACTTCTCCAGGTTAAAAAAAAATCATAACTTGTGAACTTTCAGTCAAAAATAAAACTAATTCTTATAAATACTGCCCCAAAACTCCTGAACTTCGTAGATGACGCAAGTTCATTGTTGACTGATGTAAACCTCAAGAGCGACCACTAACTTTCCTTCCCCGGTGGCGGTGCTGGAGGCTAGCCAGGGAGGGTGAATATGTCACGTCGAGGTGTCTTGCACAACACCTTGATGATGACCCCAGCTCACCACGCCCACCACGCCCACCACGCCCACACTCTATAACCTATTTTTTTCCCCTGTACATATTGACGATTCAGTCATTTAGATTTTCGATGGAGGAAAATTTAATTGAATTCTACTTTCAGATTTCAATTCATACCCAGTTGTTAATGACCGTCTCATCTCACCTATTACAGAAAATGGGATTAAATATGAAGGATTTTCTCTATAAAGGTAAATATATATTACGAGTGAATGATGACTTGTTATATCGAAGAAAAGGTTAATGAGTGTTGATAATTAAGGCATCGTATTTAACAGGAACTATATGAGGAAATCAATACGTGATATTAACTATTAGTGAATCAAGATTACATGTACTTTTTTATTGTATTATTGTATGAAAGCTCAGCATGATCATACAAATGGGTGATGCAGCACAAGTAAATATTCAAGAGACATGAAACTCCACCATAAGGACGGTCACAAAAGCCTACATCACTTAAGCGACTTTCACTTTATACAAACTCGTTATATCTTTGAAAGTTCCTCATTTTAACCGTAATTTAATCTTTATCTCGTTTCTCTTTCATAAGTTACTATTCAATGGTGACTCTCTACTGTTTAGGAGGAGAGAATACGAGATGTGGTTGTTATTGTAGGTGTAAGCGACCCTGTGGTTGTTATTGTAGGTGTAAGCGACCCATAACATGTTTACCCCACGCTGGTATAGAGGGCTGCAGGCACTGAGCTGTACTTGTGGAGGAGTTCTGATGATTTCTCCAGGAACATCTCTCGTGATTTTGCATATTTAGGGAACAAAGAGAGAGAGAGAGAGAGAGAGAGAGAGAGAGAGAGAGACGTAAAAGATAATCATCCCTAAAAAATGAGAAGTGGTAACATTATTGTTTGTTAAGGTAATAATGGTTAGGTTAGGTTAGGTTAGGTTAGGTTAGGTTTTAATGGTCCAATATCGTAACGTTAACCTCCCCATACGAAGTGGATAATGTTACGATATTAGAACAACTCCAAGATCTAATAACGACATTTTCTTTTTGATGTTAATATCTACAAGTCACTGATGTTTACAAGTCGTTGATGTTTACACGTAGTTGATGCCTACAAGTCACTGATGTTTACAAGTCACTGATGTTTACAAGACACTGATGTTTACAAGACACTGATGTTTACAAGTCGTTGATGTTTACAAGTCACTGATGTTTACAAGTCACTGATGTTTACAAGTCACTGATGTTTACAAGTCACTGATGTTTACAAGTCGTTAATGTTTACAAGTCACTGATATTACCAATCTTACATCTTAACATTTTCCTCCACCTAAGGAAACACAACCAAGACAAAATTAACTCACGATAAACAACATTATTATTTACCCAACAACATCCTGAAGAGGCAACCCACCACGCACTCTTTCATCCTCTCGTCACCACGCACTCTTTCGTCCTCTCGTCACCACACACACACACACTCCCCTCTGAGAAAGTGCTCGTCCACGCCCCCTTCACCAGCATGACCGGGCGAGGCTACGACTGCCCCCTCTCTACCTGGGCACAATATTAATTAGTATTCAGACTCCTTTCATGTGATGGTAGAGTCCAGTATGCCTCCCTGTGCAGAAATATTACCCAGTATGCCTCCCTGTGCAGAAATATTACCCAGTATGCCTCCCTGTGTAGAAATATTACCCAGTATGCCTCCCTGTGTAGAAATATTACCCAGTATGCCTCCCTGTGTAGAAATATTACCCAGTATGCCTCCCTATGTAGAAATATTACCCAGTATGCCTCCCTGTGCAGAAATATTACCCAGTATGCCTCCCTGTACACCGGCACCAACTAATAAGTGACTCCCCTTCACATTACTCAAGTTACAACACACTATCTGTCTCCCGTAACCCATCACGTGACATCATCTAATATTCCTCCTCCACTTCCTCTCGTCCGTCGACCATGAGCGGCTGCCATCATGATCCTGGTCAGCCCACACAATGTAACTCGTTCTCTCGTGATGAAATCTGGTGGGTAGCCAGAGAGGGTTTGGAGTGACTTTCTCGTGAGTGAGTGAGTGGGTGAGTGAGTGGGCGAGTGAGTGGGTGGGTGGGTGGGTGGCCTCTGCCGGGCTATACCTGGTTATTATGGATGATTTGCTCCATCTCGATTCTTACATCTAGATTCATGGCTTAGAAATGGTTTGGTGATTCGGTGGTTTAACTGACCCGAACTTTCACATACAAGCGTCATCGTTTACAATTACCGTGATTGTTTGGGTCATCTGGACTTTTACATCCAATTGGCCTGGGAGTTTCTACGTACAGCGTCATCGTTTATAAACTGCTCGTGATTTCTATTCGTGCACCATTATCAATGGTCGTTGTTGGACCTCTCGGTGACAGACGTGATGTAGGTCATGTCTTCCCTCTCATAGTGACCAGAATAGGAGGTCAATTTCCCCGCATTATGTTTACATCAAAGTAATTAAGGCTTCTCGGTTTTTATATCTCTTAATAAAATATACAATTCCTTTTTTCCACGAAGGAGTTTACCGTCCAGCAGAGAGTGTGTTAACTATAGCTCCCTGGCCTCTTTGTTCTCCTGGGGACGAAGTATAACATCATCATCTGCCACCAGGATGCTCAGGTGTTCAGGAACCTGTGTACCTCCAGGTGTACTCAGTTTCTCGGGGTTTGTCAGCTGTGTCTCAGAGGGATCAAGAAGATCTTATATGACTCGCTAGGCTACACTTCACTTCCCTGAACTTTAATCACTGTGTAGCTCCGTTGTCTGTGTACAGGGTCAGGTGGTGGTGTGACAGGTGCGGGCGTTTCCCAGGGAATTTCATGGTTCTTCTTGTATTCTCACAGTTATTAATAATATATAATACTAAAAGGACGTGTCTGTCCATGGGTGTGTCTGTTCCAGCCATAGCTCCAAAACGGTAGCACACGTATTACATGGGTTCCAAGGTTGTGCACCTTGGTATTACTATTGACCACGGACCCCCGGGTGGTCCCGGTAAGAACCAAAAATATTCCCAGACTGAGATATCATCACGGCGATTGTGGGAGGTGGTTACCCGTGTCAGGGAGGACAAACTGTGGCAGTCTAGGTTATACAACGTATACCTAACCCATGTGGAGCCGGGCAATTTCACTAGTATCATATAAATTTTCTCAAGATAAATTTTTGTTTTACACGTATCAGTTTGCGTATGAAGCCCAAACCAAAAACTTCCACACAACACTTCACACACAACACTACACAACACTTCACACTCAACCCCACACAACACTTCACACTATCAAGAACCACAACCTATAATACAGTAACTATTGAACACTACTCTAAACTCTACCTTCAGTCATACTTGCTTCACTTAACCTTTGCTCCTTAGGCCGTCAACCCGCCACCCAAATCACCGGAGTTTACCGATTGGTGTGACACAAGGAAGCATTTTAATGTGTTGGAGAAAACTTGAGACCCGGTGTTTTCTAGGTAGGGTTAGTAGGCGAAGGTTAGGCTAACTGCTTAACCAAACGTAACTGCTTTTGAAGACTGAACGTAACTCCAAAGATAAATATAATTAAATATTTGTTTATGTTTATTTATCATTAGTCAACTAAGAACTTTAAGCAACATTAACTTTAATCAACAATCGGAAGTTACATTCACGAGATGTTGTTAAGCAGCCTCGGGAAAAGAACTAAACCTGGAGGTTCTAATATACTGACATCCTCTCACTCCACCCGTGGTTGGAGGGGTGGAGGAGGGCTACATGTATTGTGTTGTACAGCCTGCAGGAGAGGGAGGGGGGGTAATGGTCTTAACAACATGACCATATACCCACCGAGGTGAATCGTCCGCCTCACCGAAGAGGATAGAGGACCATAGAGGATAAGGTTTAATTGGTGGGTGACTTTTATATTTAAAGTATATTTATGCCAGACTAGAACGTCAGAATCTTCAATATGTTCTCTGTAGAGCAGGGACAAGTACACACACAAACAGACAGACAACGAAGAGGACTGCTTCATCGCTCCTGTGGACGATAAAGAGGGAGAAAAGGAACATGAGGGAGGGATGAAAGATGGAGAGCAAGAGCAACAAACAAGCTACAGTGATGTGAGTTGTTTAGCCTGAGGGAGATGGTGAGGGAGATCAACTGTTAACGACGGGCTTGTGTAGCTCCTCAAGCACACACGGCACGCAAATTGTCCTCCAACTCTTGTCCTCATTACCGTTAGACTTTAAGCATCTCATTTGGAACATTATCAAGTGCCTCCGTTACCTGTCATCAAGTGCATTTACTGACTAAAGTGTCATCATCAGCGACGGACATGCCTGAAAGGCATCGGTACCCGGGGCTTGCGGGAAGGGCCTCAACGTGAGATGCTCACCTTGGTGGAAGCCCCCGGGTCCTGCCCCAGCGTCAGCTGACAGGGAGAAAGTCAGCCTCGGGGGCGCCATTGCACCACCACCTCCCATGGCTGTTGTACCCCGCAGGCC